CGGAAGCAGCCCCAGCGCGGGTTGGGGGGACGGGCTGGGCAAAGTGGGGCGGGGAGAGATGCAGCGCTGAAAGCCCACCTTCTGCTGGAAGCCTTGCTAGGGTACACGGAGGCCACAGAATGGCGGGGCGACGGTCCCCGACCGATGATGCACCTGCCTGGTTGTGCCTAGACCCTTCCGCTGCTGTCTGCCCCGTTAGAATGTCAGCTCTCGAGGACAGGCTCTGTCTTTGCCTGGCACGCTGTATACGCTTAGTCAATACTGGTTGACCTGAGTGACCATCCCATTCATGGCTTCACTTTGGGTACCACCCCCCTTCCCCCACCATTAACCTGTAAATAAAGCAAAACAATGTTTTGAGAAATTTGTCACTGTCAACGACAGTATTTACATATATCTTATGAAATTTCTTATTTAATTGCAAACAATAAAAAGCCCTACACAATAAGAGATCTCATGTTGCTTGGTGCTATTAAAATATCAAAAATAGTTCGTGGAAAAAAGTATGGGGATATAATTCGTAAAATTCCTTTATTGGATAATACTGTTTCCAAAAGAATTTCCGAAATTAGTAATGAACAACTCCAGAAGCTTATTACCAGGCTTAAGGGCAGCCCAAAGTTTGCAGTTCATTTAGATGCAACAACTGGTATTTCTAACATGGCACAGTTGTTACTTCATGTAAGATATGTTTATGAAGGAAGTGGACATGAGGAATTATTGTTTTGTCACTCTTTGGAAAGGCACACAAGAGATATCTTAAAGTCGATGAATTTTTCACAAATGAAGGTTTACAGTGGAAAAATTGCATTGGAGTCTGTACGGGTCGTGCTGAAGAAATGATGGGCGAGAATGTTGGATTTGTAGCAAAAGTTAAAGCTGGTGACAATGAACATACCACTTTTACTCACTGCATGATCCATCAAGAGGCACTGTTAGCCAAAAAAATATATATATCACCAGAGTTAGATATTGTGCTTCTTGATACTATCAAAATCATTAACTTCATTCAAAGCCATGCCTTAACACTTGTTTGTTTTCAAACATTTAGAAAGACTTGGACTTTGATTACAAAGGCTTATTATTAATACATGCAGAGGTGAGGTGGCTCTCAAGAGGGCAAAATTTAAACAGATTATTGAACTTGAAAGATGAAATTGTTATATTTTTGACTGAGCAGAAATCTCATTTTGTTAATTTTTTTCCCAATGACTTATGGCTTTCAAAACTGTTATTTGTCAGATATTTTTGAAAAACTCAGTGATTTAAACATGTTGCCTCGTGGGAAATTTTTTTTAACATATTTATGTTAAAAAATAAAATCAAAAGTTAATATATGGAAGAATAAGGTAAAAAGTGGTTCTTTAGAAACGTTTACAACTACAAATGATTTTATAATTGAAAATAACCTTCCCAAAGATTTCATCATAAGAGTTATAATTGATCATCTGAAGTGCCTGGGGACATAGTTTCAGAAATACTTCCCTTCAAATTTTGGTTCTAAAAAACTAATTTGGGTTCATAAGCTGTACTCAATTGAAATAAAAAATGTCAGTCATCTGCTATTAAAAGTTCAAGAAGAATTTACTAGTTATCAAGCAACACAGGTTTAAAACTTGAGTTTCTTAAAAAATCAGTAAATGAATTTTGGCTTGGGATTAGGACAGAATTTCCAACAATTTCTTAAATGGTCCTAAACATACTTCTGCCATATTTATGTAAAGTGGTGTTCTCAGCATTGACTATTATAAAATCAAAATATTGATCAACTCTGAAAAACATTGAAGATGCTCTATGTCCTGCAGTATCAAACATCCCACCAAGATTTAATTCTTTTTGTAAAAAGAAACAAGCACATCCATCTCATTAGCATGCAAATTGGCTTTTGTCTTTAATAAATGGTAAAATTATATGTATACTAAAGAATTGTTTTAAAATAAATTTCTTTATGATTTATTATCAGTAAATGTTTGATGTGTATACCTATTTTATATATCTATACCCAGGGTTCCATAAAAATTTCTTGGGCAAAAAGGACTGGAAAAAGTTTAAGAAGCCCTGGCCTAAACTGTTTCAATTAGGATTAGCTGTTAGCCTAAAACAGCCCCAGATGCAGAAGAGAACTAGAATCATGTTGTCTAGCAACAAAAATAAAACCAACAACTTAAATGAAATTGTAAATATTTACAAAAAATATAAAATGCCCACAAGGAACAGAACAAGAAATAGAGAATTTAAATAAGTCAATCTAAGTAAAAAAAAAAAATCAAAGAAGCCCCAAAAGAATCCCCAAAGGGGGGAATAACCCAAGATCAGATGGATTTACAAGCAACTTTTATAAAATATTCAAAGAACAATTCCAATATTACATGAATAGTTTGCAAAACTAGGAACAGAAGAGATCCTACGAAATTCCTCCAATGAAACCAATATTGTCTAAATCCCTAAACCAGGGAGATTCAAAAGGGAGAAAAGCTCTAGCTCGATATCCCTGATCAATAATGACAACAAAATAAATATTAGCAAAGAGGTTACAGCAACATAGCAAAAAGATGATGCCCTATGATCAGGTTTGGGTTTATGCTAGGAACGCAGGCTGAGTTCACTATTAGGAAAACCACAAAGATAATAGATGATATTAATACCAAGAACAACAAAAATTATATGATCAGATGAATGAATGCAGCAACAAACTTTTGACAAAATACAATATCCATTTTCATTAAAAAAAAAAAGTTATTGGAAAGCATAGGAACAAACAAACTTTTCTTAACATGGCAGTGTGCATGTATCTGGAATCAAGAGCTAGAAATATCTATAATAGGGATAAAGTAGAGGCTGTTTTGGTAAAATCAAGGTAACGCAACGCTGTCCATTATGTCCCGGTGTTACTTACTTTAGTGCTAGAACTGCTAGCTAGTACAATAAGATAAGAAAGAGAAATTGAGGGAAGGAGCCTAGGCAAAAGGAAACAATGATCGCTTTTTGCAGATGATATGATGGTTTACTTAGAGAACCCTAGAAAGTCAGGTGGGAGAGGATTCTTAACTAAAGGAGACAGAGATCAGAAAACAGAAAAGGGTCAATTTTGATTACATAAAAAAAAGTTTTGCAGGAAAAAATAACGTAGTTAGGACAAAAATTCCAACTGCAGTTGTGATGCAAAAACCTGTATAAAAATCCTTTAAGAATTCTGGTACCTCAGACATCTTTTGCTGTTGTTCAGTTGTGACCCCATGAACCCTAGCAGGCAGGGCTCTTCTGTCTTCCACTATTTCTTGACATGTGTCCAAGTTCATATTCGTTGCTTCCATGACACTCTCCATCCGTCTCCTCCTCTGCCATCCCCTTTTCCTTTTTTTGCCTTCAATCATTCCTGATATCAGGGTCTTTTCCAGCAAGTCCCATTTCTCATTACGTGGCCAAAGCAATTCAGCTTCAGTTCTACTTTTTTTAAGTATTGATTGATTTGACCTCCTCACTGTCCAAGGGACTCCCCAAAGTCTTCTCCAGCGCCACAGTTTGAAAGCCTCGATTCTGTGGCCTGGGCTTTCCTTATGGCCCAACTCTCACAGCCCTTGTTCGTTCATTCTTTGTTCTCTAAGAGGACCGATGACATCACAAGGGTGATGTCTTGACCTGCAAGTGGATCGGATTTAGGTGAGGCAGAGCAGCACAAAGTCATCAGTTCACTCTCCTCCAGAGTCACTGGAGTTCGGTGACAGGACAGAAGCCGAGATGACTGGCAATGAGCCGGGAATCAAGCAGCGAAAGGGCAGAAGGCAGCCAGATGAGCTGAGGAAGACGGTGGGCTTTGTGGTCTTCAAGGAGAAGCTGGACAGCCGCCCTTTGGCTTTGTCCTAGAGGAGGCCTTCCAACTCTAAACATCCTGTGTCAGTCCTAAGTCCTCTTCTTTGGCAAAAGGGATGTGTTCTCATTTGCTTATGTCACTTTTAGAATGCACCTAATACTCTGTATGTGTTCTGATCAGCTCCGAAGGACAAAACATCTATTACCTGCCCTGAGCTAATTGTAATGGACATGCCCAGTCTGGAGGAGGCAGCTAAGTAGTGCAGTGGACAGAGTGCTGGGCTTGGAGTCAGGAAGGGTTCTGTCTGACTCTTCTGGGCGTGAAGATTAGTCTTCTTGACTCCATGCGTGGTGCTCTATCCACTGTGCCATCTAGCTGCCCATGGAGTCAAGAACACCCAAGTTCAAATCTGGCTTCAGACACCCACCAGCTATGTGGCCCTGGGCAAGTCACTCAAACTCTGTTTGCTTTGATCCACTGGAGAAGGGAATGGCAAATCATTCCATTAATCTGTGCCAAGAAAACCCCACGGACAGTATTGGTGTGCTATGGTCCACCAGAGCAGGAAGGGTCAGACATGACTGAGCTACCAAACATTAACAACAAATGGGTAAGAAAAGGAGGAATCTCACTAAGACTTTTCCCAGGGGAGACACCAGATACAAAGAACCCTATAGCCCAGTTGTCTTTGGCCTTGTCTGGAACAGTCCATCCCAACTAGCAACCTTGTGTTCTGGCACCAACTTGCCCAGAAAACACCCAATCAACCTCTCTCTCCCTCCCTTCCCAGAAGAACATGGCTTTGAGTTTAATCCCTTACCCACAGATATCCATTTGAATCCTGGACCAGGATACTTCCTTCAGCCTCTTAGCCTATATTATTCTAGTGAGGCTAGAGCTGGGGTTCCTCATTTAGAAACAGCAAAACCTGGCACAACCAAGGGCCAAGGCTGAGAGGAGAGGGCACTGGACCAGGTAGAGTCCAAAGACCTCGGTTCTAATCCCAGTTCTGCCAAGGATGTCACTCACTGGGTTATTTGGCTGGGCTTCTGTTCCTATTTAAAAGGGGGGATTCGAACTTCATTTCTTACTAAGATTCTTGAAAGTTGCAACATTAACTGCTGTTGGGGCAGAGAGTGGACAGGAGATTGTCAGAAAAAGATCCCCATCTTTTCTGCACTGTCTGCTTTATTACAGCTACAACTAAAAGCCTGGCACATAGCAGAGGGTTTCACGAACGGATGTAAGGGGGTGGGAGCAGAGATCAGGCACTCTCCAGATCATCGCTCAGCTAATTCAACCTTAGCTCCTCAGGGGGCTCTTGGACCCAGCCAGGCTGGGTTTAGGTCTTCCTTCTGGCTTCCACTCCTCTCCCCTCAGGGCAATATAAAAAGGAGTTAACAGAGTTAACCTAGGGCAGCTTCTTCAAGGTCTGGGAGGACTCTCCAGAGCACACTTCATCTGCCGGAGACCTAAGCCCTGGGGATAGGATGGTCCCTGCTCTCAAGGAATTCTCGCTCTGCTAGGGGAGATATCTGGCCAATGTTGCAGTTTCATGGCGTGTTGCGATGGTACCATCTCAAAGAATTCAGACTCTAATCCAAACCTCTAATCCGAGTACAGGCATTTATTGAGGATTGACGCCCCTCAGAAGCAGGCTAGGTTCCGAGCAATTTAGTAAAATGACACAGGCAAATTTATAGTGTGATGATGCTGATTACGCAACAGAGAATTTGAATATGAAAAAGGCAGGAGGGGTTTGTTAAGGGATTAGGTAATGGGGAGGGGTCCCTTCTATGGTTAGGTAGTCAGACATCCTGGTCCTGCTACTTTCTGATTGGCTAGCTATTGTGGTCCTGGCTTGGGCTAAATAGATGATGTGATTGTGGTTGAGTACAAGGACACACCTGTGCAAATATGCGAAGTGGATCTGTGGTGTGGATCGTGTGGCGAAATCAGGACACGCCTGCTGTTCAGTGGGGCCCATAAGGAAGTTAGAATGTCGGGGCTTTATTAGGATTCCATCACCAACAGTCATGAAACAAGTTGTCACCGGGAGAGATTTCCTGCAGAAGGTGGGACTTGAAGGAAGCGGGGGAGGTCAGTGGTTGGAGCAGAGGAGGGAGCCCGCTCCGGGCATGGGGTACAGCCAGTGAAAATACGCATAGCTGCTGATGGAGATTCATATTCTTGGAGCAGCAAAGAAACTCGTAGCGCCGGGCTAAAGAGAGTGTGATGGGGAGTGAGGAGCAAAAAGCCTGGAAAGGCGCTGGGATGTTAGGTGGTGAAGGGCTTTGCACCCAAGCGTAGCAATTTGCATTTGAGCCTGGAGAGCTACTGAAGTTTGAGTAGGGGGTGGGGGAATGACGTGTTCCAGTTCTCTGCCACTGCAAAAAGTGCTGCTTTGATTAGCTTCCAAATATGGGACTTTTGTTTTTTTAAACTTCGTGAGTTCTATGCACAGAAAGGGGGTCTCAGAGTCAAAGGGTCTGGGGTCCAGCTGGGGCGACTTCCCAACTCACACATGGGTCCCCCTGGGTAGAGCTCCGAACCCCGAGCGATGTGTTATCAGACAGCTAGAGAACACAATACGTTCAAAGCAAAGGAAATCAAACAGGGAGAAAGAATATCCACCGCTCTCCTTCCCAGGGAAGGCCCAGGGCTGACTACATTTCCCAGAATCTTTGTGTTCAGACTCGCGGCTTGTCAAGGCCAATCACCACAGACTACGTAAAATTCTGGGAACTGTAGTTTTGGTGCTCTCTGTACGCAGGCGCAGGTCCGCGGGCGGGTTGGCTCTGCGCCAGCAGGGGGGGGGAAAACAGAGAGAGTGCGCACGCGCAGTTCAGGAGGGGTGGGGGGGTTCAGGGGCAGAAGCTTCTGAAGACAATCGGATCCTATCTCCGAGAAGTTCACGCGGTCCCTAGGGGGCGCGCGGCCCAACGGCCCCTCAAGCCCAAGGTCCCAAGACCTCCTGGGAATGGTAGTTCACAGTCTCTGGATGCGCAGGCACAGTTCTCTCAGTTTCAGGCCGGGCTCTGGTGGGACGAGGCGGGAGCGAGTGCGCATGCGCCCTGCTGCAAGGCTCGTGAGTGACGTGGCCGGTGAGTGGGCGCGCGTGGGGCGCGGGATCCGCCCGCTCCCTCTGCCCCGTCCCTTGCCGTGCTCCCCGCTCCATCCCCGAGGCCATTAGCGGGTTGAGCTGCCCATTGCCCCTAGAGTCGCCTAGGCCTCGCAGGTGGGGAAACTGAGGCCTGGGGAGGACCTGGTCCGTGAAGAGTCCACGCCCGCGCAATTCCCCTGGGCCCCCGCAGAGACTGAGCTCCGGGTGCTCTCTGGCCTCTGGGCCTTTGCCCAGGCCGTGCCTCCCTCCTCACTAACCTCTCTCGGTCTCCTTGGACGTCGTCAGGGCGCGGCTGCAGCAGCATGGTGTCACCACTGGTCAGCGCTGCCCGGCTCGGACAGGCCACCCAGGGCCACCCGGGCCTCCTCTTTCCCGGGGGTCCTGAGGCCCCCCCCAGCCCAGCCAATAAGACCCGAGTTCCAGGCCGGCCTCAGGCACCTCGTGGCCCTTAGTGAGCCGCAGCTTGCCTCAGTTTCCTCATCTGTAGCAGAGGGTTACCAAAAGCTTGCTCCCCGGCCCCCCTCCCCTTACTATAAGGAGGCAGCACCAGGTGTGGAAGAGCCCTTCTGCTTTCCGGCATTTTAAGGGCTGCCTTTACACCGTTTATTTTCCTGGCTGCGTGGGCGGCGTCTTTCCTGGTCACGCTCTCGTTCTGCGGCCACGGTGGTGCCCCACGTGGGTTAGTCTTGGGAGCCCCGCTCTGCCCTGCCCACTCCTCAGGATGCCCCCACTGCCCCCTCGGGTCACCCCGCATCCCCTCTGAGAGTCTCCCTCCATGTCCAGGCCAGCCCCTCCGGGATTCTTGGGCTGGGCAGTACTCCCACTCCCACGCCTGCCTCGGAGCCCTGTGATGGGCACCCCCTGGTCCCGCTTCTGCCGGCCACAGAGAGGGCTGTTGTCCGTGTTTTTGTACACGCGCCTCCCTTTCCGTCTCTGCTGTCGGAGGGGTGGGCTCCTCAAACCTCCCCCACCTTGGTCATTGACCTTCTTTTTGGTCATCTTGGTCCACCTGATGGGGAGGAAGTGAAATCCCAGAGCTGCTGCTGTCATTTACATTTCTCTAATTGATTGATGTCAATCGGAGTGTCATTAGTAGCTTGCCTTTCTTCTTCAGCAAATTGCTTGTTTGTGTCCTTAGACCGTTTAGCTACTGGGGAATGGCGCTTATTCTTATATATTTGAATCAATTCCCTACACATTTAGGAGACCAGACCATTTTCAGAGAAACTTGCTGCAAGACTTTATTGTTAACTCTTTTCTAATTTCTAATTTTGATTTCACTGCTCTTGTTTCTACAAAAATATTTCAATTTTATGTAATCACAATTGTCCATAGCTCCTCTGATCTTCTCTATTCTTTGTTTGGCCAAAGAAACTTTTCCTTTCCCATAATCACTTGTTCCCAGGAGTTCCTCATCCTGCTCTTTTTAGTAGTTCTTTCAAACTTCTAGAGCAGGAGTCAGCAAACTAAGGCCTGAGGGCTCACAGCCAGTTTTTGTACTGCCCCAACTATTTAAAAATATTAAAGGGCAGTTCAAAAACAGTCAGTGTCACTGTAGTTTTGCTGACTCCTTTTTTAGAGAACAATTAATACCTATACTACACAAATTATTCTCAAAATTTGAGAAAGAAAGCAATCTACCAAGCTCCTCTCAGAAGACAAATACAGTCCTAATACCTAAGCCAGGGAAGGATAGAGCAAATAAAGAGAACTATAGGCCAATATCATTAATGAACATTGATTAAAATAGTTAAAACAATATCCTGGTAAAAAAGACTATGGTTATTTATATAGAAATTCATTGTGACTTAAGTTGGATTTACATCAGGGTTGCAAAGTTGGTTGAATATTAGGAAAACAACTAAATCATATTAAAACTAAAAATATCTGAAATTACATGATGATCTCAATAAACGAAGAAAAGCCTTCAATAAAACACAATATACCAAAGAAAAAAACTATAAAAAGGATAGCCAAAAGGCATTTATAGGCATATAGGTAAATAATCTGATAAAAGATATCTAAAAACAAAAGCAATAGAGAATGCCTTCTAGAAGCTTTCCCAGTAAATAAGGAATAAAGCAAGGGTGCCCCTTTCCCTGTTATTATTTAATATACTATTAGAAATCATTGCAGTAGCAATAGAATAAGAGAAAGAAATTAAAGTCACAAAGATAGACAAAGAGAAGAAAAAACTATCCCTGCCAGCTGATGACATTATGGTTTACTTTGAAAATCTTAGCAAGACCAACAAAAAAATTGAGGCAATAGCTTTAGCAAATTATATGCTCCAGAATAAACCTGCAGAAAATCAACAGCTTTTCTATGTAATAATAAAGTCCAGGAGGCAGAATATTACACAATACTTGTATAGATAAAACTACCAAGTGCTCCTTAGAGAAATAAAGAACAATTTAAATAGCTAGAGAAATATTCAGTGCTCATGACTGGGCCACACCGATAGAATAAAAATGAAAAAACCCACAAAAGTTAACGTATGGCTTTAGTGCTATACCAGTCAAACTACCAAAAAGCTATTTTACATTGCTAGAATAACACAATACATTTGGAAGATCAAAAGATCTAGACTTTGAAGGGAAATAATGAAAAAAAAGTATAAATGAAGGAGAGCTAGTCATCAGATCTCAAACTACAAAGCAGTAATAATCAAAATCATTTGGTACTGGTCAAAAATAGAAGAGTATTATCAGTGGAACAGACTAGATAAGGATGAATCAGAAATAATTTAACTCAGCCTAGTGTTCAGTTAACTCCAAAATATGTTACCTCGGATAGAACTCCCCCTAAGCAGTAAGCAATTAAATGAAAAAAGGAGATCATATTTTGTTTACAGGAGGTCGAGAGTGAGTTCTTAACCAAACAAGGGATAGAATTAATTAAAACAGATAACATAGATAATTTAGATTATATGAAATTGAAAAGCCATTGCACAAACAAAACATTCACATCTAAGATGATGGAAGAAATTGCCTAGGAGGAAAAAACAACCTTTTTTTTGTTTCTTTTTTTAAGTCAAATATCCCTAACGAGGATTTTATATCCAAGATAAACAGAGAACAGAAAAGAACATGACCAAACAATTCTTATAAGAATTGCTAACTGTTAACAACCTTTTGAAAGAATTCTCTAATTCAGAGCAAATAAGAGAGGTGCAAATCAAAATCCCTACAAATTGGCAAAGGCAACAAAAGATGAGAAGGAATTGTGGTTAAACTCACACTAATACATTGTTGGTGGAGCTGTGAGTTGGTACAACTATTTTGGAAAGCAGCTTGGAATGAAAAAAAGTATCTAAAATGCTTACGTTTTTTGACCTAGAGACCGCACTGCTGGACATATATCCCAAGGAAGTCACTGGTAAAAATAAAGGCTCATATACATCAAAATATTTTTGTGGTGGCAAAGAACTGGAGACAGAAATGCTCGTCAATTGAGGAAGAGCTAAAAAATCATGGTACATAAGTGTAATGGAATATCGTTGTGCTATAAGAAACAGTGTAGATGAAACATGGAAATAATGACGTCAGCTGATGCAGAGGGACAAGCAGAGCCAGGGAAGCAATCTGCGTGCACGCACAACCCCAAAATAACACAGGAGATAGTGCCTCTCGTCCCTTTGCAGATGTCAGGGCCCATCCGAGTGGGACACTACTGCCTATAATAACAGATTCTTAAAAATGTATTTATTGGTTTTGCTAAAAACAATTTTCCTCTTTTTTTTCTTTCCTCCTTTAAAAAGCATTCTTTGGTTGTCTGGGAGGGAGAGGGAGGAAGAATACTGAGGAAAATCTAGGGGATATAAAACAAAAGATAGCAGTAAGAATCGATTTTAAAAGCTCCTTCTATCCGTGCTTGTAAAGGAATTTCCTTTCCACTCCTCAAGCGTGTTTGTGCCGTCCCCCTTGTATCTCGGTCGTGTGTCCCTCGGGA